CGGCGGTGCGAAAGTAGATGAAATCCTTGACAGTTTCGAAAGTATAGTCGTCAGCCACTATCTCGGCACCTAAGCGATGCAAATTTCTACAAGTAGCCGACGTATACTTCGTTTTGATTCGTTTTGGGAAACACTGCTCTAAGTAAAAAGGACACTTAAATTACCATAAGATTTCTGATATAACAGTTACAGTTGAATTACCATCTCAACAAATTTAGTTTATCGAAATCCAATATCTATTACAATCTTTTACTTTAGATAAAGGTAAATGTTATAAAATGTATTCATAAAAGTTTTAATATAAATAATTTAAAAAGAATTTATTTAGTATCACTAATTTTTGATATTTTCTCAAAAATATCAGCCACAAGTCTATACCTCTATTTTGAATGCCATTAGAAAACTGACCTATTCGACTTTTAATCAATTCACAGTAAATGTTGATCTTTGCACTATTTTAAATATATTTTAATAATTTCTATTTCTAAAAATACATACAAACATGTGTATGTCAAATGGATTGTATATATTCATACGTAAATCTTAACACGTTTGTTTGTTTTTAAATTTCCGCCTCATTAAAACGAAAATGAATAAAAATAAAATTTTTATATGATGAAATATCTTATAGAAATTGCTATCATCTGCAATTAAAATTCTAAAATATATTAACAAATATGAATGAATTTAGCATTTACTTTTCTAACTGAGACAGACAAAAGCAATAGTAGCGATAATAAAAGTTTGTCGCAAGTGATAAGTAAAAAAATAATGAATAAAAATAAAATTATATGAAATGTATGAGAAGCAACTATTGTTATTGCTAAGCCAGTGAAATTCTACTCTACTGCAGTACTCTGCTCTTTCGCCATCGTTGCACAATATCGCATGTATTCAATGCTATGAAAATTATTTTATTCATTGTTAATACAATAATTCAAGGCTATTATGTACTTTTAGTGTTTTTCATTAATTATGAGTAACAATTTCCTTAAAGAAGTTATTCGGTCTCAAAACAAATTGTTGAGCACTATTAATTATTTATAAGGAAACGTACAAAACCTGAATCATAAGTCTCATTATCATACATAAGTCTCACTATTGCTGTTTAATTCATATCTACAATGTGTACGTAAAGTATATTCTATGGGTACGAAATATAAAAGCGCTATTACAAATCAATAAGTATATAACTAACAGACTTTCATAACTTACATTTTTTAAATTTGATGACCAAGAAGTTTGCTATTAACCTCCGCAAATAAACTTACATCGGTTCCTGTATCAAATTTTCTGTATTTATTATTATATTTAGGCTCTCTAGTAACTGCGAAGTTTCTTCATAACCCCTCTCTACGCCTTGATTGGATTATTGTTTATTACTTCATCAGGCTAAGACTAATAATAATTGAGCTCATATCTGCCTACCTCGCCGAGGAGCCTGCAACCATTCTGAGATTCGATAACGCGGTGTTGGTAAGCCTGTCAGTTTTAGTAAATAATTTCAGGGCTCTATCCTTTAAGTATTTTTTGATCGAATCAATCTTGAGATCTCTGAGGATATCATTTGTCCTAATGTATTTGTTTACCTCAATTTTCCACAATTCTCAACCTAAGAAACGTAAGGCAAGAGATTCAAAATTTTGCTCGAATGGCAACATATGAATCAAAATTAAATTGAGTACAACCGGAGATAATGAGAAAAAATAAGTAAAGAAGTTATATTATTTCTATGACGATAGTTGATCAATAACTCTTTAATTATAAGCAAACCTAAACTAAAATGCTAGCTATTAAGCTGTGAAATGTATTTAAAGAAATTAATTTATTTTGTAAGGACTAAAACTAGATACTCATATGTGATTCAAGTTCTCAAAACGAAGAAATTAGATATAGAAAGGAGAACTACAAACTAGAATAAGAAATATAAAAAATAGAGTTGACACCAAGAAAATGCGGTGGTCTGGACGCAGATCGAAAATCAAGAGAGCCTGACTTGAAATGCCAACATAAAAGAGACCATCCTCGAAATAATGCGAAAGCGGTTCCGAAGGGGAATAAGTCTCGCTGAAAAGGAGGTGTTTTAGTGCGTATACTACATATTAATGTTAGGGAGTCGGGCACACCATTCCGACGACGGTCGGTTTGACGGTGCATAAAGCATTCCACCTTCTCACCACAAAAAAAATATAAAAAAAATCTAGATAATTATATTTTTTTTAACACACAACTAATGAAACAACAAATAAAATAATAATTAATAATAGTCATAAACCAATAGTAAAAACAACAACATATGTAGTATAAACGTTAAAAGTCATGTTAATAAACTATGATAAAATTTATACGCTTAAAATTTTTAAAATTAGAATTTAAAATTTAAAAAATACTTACTGGAAATATATAAATCAAAAAATGGATAACAATCAGGTCTTCAAACCTGAATTGAACTGAAAACCGAAAATAACAATGTTTCTACTCAAGCAAAATACGGTACCGAACCAAAAAAATATCATCTTATTTTGGCACAGTTCGGTACATCTTCTTTTATTGTCATTTATTTATGTATATATATATAAGTTTTATGAAAACTACATATAATGCAATTAAATTAGGGCTGTCCAAAGCAAGGCCCACGGACGATATGTGGCTCGCGGCTAATGTTTGTGTGGCCCGGGACATGTTTCTAATCTACCACAATTACACAAAATTTCTTCTTGCATACTTTGGTAAAATTACATTATTTTATTTTTATAGTATACAAAATAAATAAATTTAAGCTAATAATTTAATAAAACTAAATAGAAAAAAAAATAAAATTATTTAATAAAAATATTTAAAAAGTATTTTCTCTTAACTAAACTAAAAATTGAAGAAATCGTTTTTTTTTCTCTATTAGAACAAAATCCAGAACCGAATCGATATATTTGTTTGAGTGAACCGGAAATAACTACGAAGGTAAGAAAAATACAATTCACAACCCTTATAAAAAACACTAAAAATGCAAACGATTCAAATCTTTAAAAATAATACCTTCTCTAATATCTTAGCTGACAGTTTGACACTTAACTTCGGTTTATACATTATATTATTCACTTTATTATTCACGTTGTGATATAATTACACTTTTAGATTCAAATTCATCATCAAAATAATTGCGATGGTTTATTTTCATTTCTCTCTATTAAAACTTATAACTAGTGTTATATACAGAGTTTATATTTAATACATAATTAATCGTAAGAATAGTATGTTCTATTCGTCCTATATATACTCCTATAAAGAAGGTCATAGAATTTAACTAATATTTCTCTTATAGTTTTTATTAGTTTCTACACAAAAAGAGTTTTACTAGCTCCTATAAGAATTCCAACTATATACTGTATACAATATATGAAAATTTATTGTTTTTTTTCATACCAAATTGGCTTCTTAGCCGATAAATTGATCTACATCGATTACATCGTTGCACTTTATCTCTATATTAAGGTTACGTAGAGTCCATATTAAGGGTGATCATCTTCAGAAAAAGAGTTTTATTATAAATAATTCCATCTCTATATATACAATATATGAATAATTATTATATTTTATTCGTAACAAAACAACTCCTAAGCTGATAAATGGATCTACATCGATTACATCATTACACTTTATCTCTATATTTAGAGGTCTAACTGTGGCTGAAGCATCGTTACGTAGATGATATTAAACTCCAGAATTCTTATAAAAAAAAACTGTATAGATTAAAACAATCATTTATTTTCTGAGAAACATAGTTTCACACGCAGGGATACGTCTAGTTTTATATAAAACTACAGTAAAAATTCGCTTCATTTCTGTTAAATTAAGATACCCTTTTTTATGTTTTTTTTTAAACTAATCCTCTTTTTATTGTAATTTTAAACAACTAAACTCTTTTTTGCTAAGCACTCTTAATTAACAAACGAAAGTTGAATGTTGGTTAGTATACGCTCAAAGAGGAGTTTTCACTTTACTTGTGTATAAGTTTGACAATAAAAATAACTTGAATTGTTCTACACTAAAAACTACTAATTGTAAACCTTTTCTTAGCAAATGTTAAAAACTTATTTTTAGATTTATTGCCGTATTTTTAATTCCAAAACTGATTAGAACTGAAATTAATTGTTTTTAATTTAAAAAAAAACTCAAAATGACTGATTGTCACACTTCAAACAAAGTATTCTTTTTTTTTTCTTTTTTGCAACGAACTACCTGGCAACAAAAAATGACATTAACGAAAGAAAAAATTATAAAAACAAATAAAGCAACAAAACAATAGACACCAGCAAAAGAAAAAAATATTAATAACAGCAACAAGGGCACCTTTTTAAACAAAGTAGAATGGTATGAGTCATTCGAAGTTGTGAAAAGCAAACCTGAAGAAGACAATGAATAATAAAACGAAGTTGGCTTACAGAAAACCGATACACACACTTGCAAACATATGGAGCACAGAACAGCACAACTCAGCGCACTATTGTTTGTTGTTGGTGTGCACTGGTGATTGAAGCAACAAATTACTTATGGGAAAGATTCATGAAATACTTACATACTTACATTCAAGCAGCTCGTGATTTTCTTTTTAGCTACCTTCAAATAAATGGGCAGCAGGGGAAAATAATAAAATAAAGGAAAAACATGTATTTATTTGTAAAAACTTAACCAAACTTTGCACTTTGCGGCAACAAACATATGAAGCTGCGCTAAGCATTGCAAAGTTGGCAAGGATTTTTTATTTAAAAATTTTTGTAATTTATTTTTATTTTTAGTTACAAATTTTTGTTTTTTCTGGTTGAATTATTAAAAAACTTAACATTAATACACAATAATATTAATAATAAAAAAAATTAATACATGCACATTTTTTGTAGTAATAAATAGTTTCAATTTGTTGTTTCCTATGAATAATAATAGTACATACATATATAATATATATTTTTGTATTTTTTAATTTTATGTTTTTTTTTTATGAATATCATAATATTTAGTAAATGAGAACATTATTAAGTTTTTTTTAATTTTTAATTTAATGTTTAATTGAAAATTGTATTTTGTTTTTAAATATATCGCAAATGTTTTTTTTCTTATATGTAAAAAAGTTTCCGAAATGGGAAGGAAAAAAATTTTTCAAATTTTTTCTTACTAAATCTTTTTACTTGAGTTCACCATGAACTACCAAATTTCACAAAAGAGTTTCATTTTTTTTTTAATTTAGGGATTTAGGGATGAGGCAATTACAGGGATATTGAAAATACTTAAATATTAATAATTAATGGAGTACGTTTAGGTTTTTGTTGTTTATATAAGATCAATTTTAAAACTTAGCATCTTAACCAGTATCACATTTTCATGAGTTTGAGATTTGGCAAATTATAATTTTGCCATTATCTTAAAAATTCATGTTTTCACAATTTGTTTTTGTAATCAACTTAAATACCTAAGACAAAAAATATTTACCTACATACTAATGGTGGTGAGTTCACATATTATATATAATCGAAAGAATATATATATAGAATATATTCACTATATATGTATTGAGATGTATAGTGTATTTCAATTAGACATAAGATGTGTAGTGTGTAACCGTGTGTATATGTATGTGTGTAGGTGGGGTGGCTTCGAAAATTAATATTAATTAATAATAATACATCGTCTTCGTTTCGATACTATCGAAAAAATTTTTATCGATAAAATTGCTTTCTCGTTGTTATAAATTTACCACATCACGATGATGGTGTAGAGATGGCAGCACTACTGCTGCTATTACTACCGTAACTATAACTGCTGCGCTCTTGTGGTGAGTACAATTTATGTTTAGTAATGCTGAACTCTGGACTGATAGTTATTGTACGTGCCAAGCTTTTCATGAATTGTGGCAATAATGCAGTCCAACCACGATGGTCCTGACGCAATGTTAAATATATCTCAAAGGTAGATACCATTTCGGGATCCAATTTGAGTGATGCAATACGTCTCGAGTTATTTGGTTCATCTTCGAATTCGATGTATATGGTGCAGCCACGTATTCCGCACGGTTCCTTCTCGGAAACACGTATAATTTCTGCTGCTATTCTAGGTGTGAGATCACAGGGTAAGGAGACTTCAGTGCAGGTTAAATGACGCGATTTAGCCGCACGCAGTTCATCAAGCAAACGCAATGAAAGTTCATTTACAGCTGTTGCATCAATATCATCACAGTAAAATAGATTTGTGTTATCTGGTGTATGATTGTAGTTACTATAACCAATGCGGTAACTACTATCTGTTGCTGGTTGTTGTTGTTGATTTGCAACAGCAGCAGCAGCACGTGATTTACCATTGCTGCTCACCTCTGCAGTGCGTTTAGTTTTCTTGCTTATAATACTGTTCTTCATTTTATTGGTAGTGTTACTCTGTAGATATGGTAAATTGGTGGGTGACTGCGTTGCTTTAGTTGGCGGCGGTGTTAATATGTTAGCCCAGTCTAAAATAAAAGAAAAAAAACATAAATTAATTATTAATTTGTTAAACATTTAAGAAAAAATTATTTAAAATACATTTGTATATCAGTTCTTACAATTTCTTTTTTGAATTTTTCAATTTTTTAATCTTTTTTAAACATTCTTTTTTTTATAATCGTGCGCTGCCAAACACGCATTTAAGCAAAAACAACAACTAAGCACGCTTTTGCTGTATGTTCGCTTGGCAACAATGTATATGAACACTTTTTTATTTTATTTATTTTTTTCTTTTTTGCTGAACATTTGCAACCGATAAGCTATGTCAATAAAAATTTAAAAAAGACACTTGAAAAAAGTATTTGAATTTCATTTACAAGGCTAGGCTAGAAATTTTATTTTTTAAATTTAATTATTTTAACTTGATTTCAAAAAATTGGTTTAATAATAAAAATTTCGAATTAATTTTACTTTTATTTGAAGTTATTTAAAAAAAAATGTTTACTACATATATATGATTCTTTCTTTAAACATTGAATTATAATTTAAAAAAGACTAAATATAATTTAAATAAAATTTTTTTGTATGTAATAAAAAAAATTTCTAACAGTGTAATAAATAAATGCAGTTCAACAATTCTGTTTACTTACTTTTAGCTTTATAGGTACCGAGCGCCCCGTATACCGTCGTCTCATATGGTTGCTGCACAGCGAGTACTTCCATTTTCATTTGTAATAAGGAAATTGTGGATATTAAAAATTTTCTTAAAAATTAATTTTGCAGTGTATCAGCGCGCGTTTATCAAAAACTTTTGCCTTTCACTGGCTTTTCCTGCCGTTTTTTAGATTAATTTTCTTCAAGCAAAAAACTTAGTTTTTATTTTTAATTTCCAGAAAATTCGAGTAAGTTCGAAACTCTACTGGTGCTTGATGTATCACTTTTTCTTGTTGATATTTATCACAATTTGCTGAATTTCTTGCTTATTTTGAAAATATTTTCCCAACAAAAATATTTTGTAGAAAGAAAATTGCTTTATTACAAAATTTTTTAAACTTTTCTTTGCTTAATTTTTTTGTAGTTGAAATCACAGCACTTATTATTTGTAATAATAATATTTACTTCTTATATTTTTTGCATATCACTTTTTTAATTTTAAATGGCATTAGTCTGTTGCATTTATTAATTTTTTAAATTAAGATGGCAAAATTATTTTATAATTTCTTGCTTCTTTATATTTCATAAGTACTTGAAAATGTACAATTTATAGAATTCTTCTTGAAACGATTAAATTTTTTTTCTTAATACATTTATATCAAATCTGCTACGAGTCTTTTTGGTTTATCTTCGCTAGCTCTTTATTTTTCTTATTACCATCTATACCTCAGCAGTGTTTCGAAGCTACTATGAAAACCGGCTTCCCGTACACCGTATTTATAGGCTTCTCGCACCGACAAATATATATGGTATATTTAATTGTAATTGTTGTTGCTGTGTTATATTTTTTCCTCTACTTTACCGTTTATACAAAACGTTCGCTCAAGCACGTACGTCCCTTGCGTGTTGCGCACCTTATACATCCATATATATTTCTTATATATGAGAGAGAAACAACTTTTTTATATGCCGCTGCTATTGTGTAGCCAACGTTGAGTATATTTCACTTGTGTACTCAGTAAAGAGCAGTGCAAACACAACCACGTCGAGAAAACTGAGATGTAAAGAAAACAGAAGAGTAGAGTAGAAAATATTGTATGTGAAATTTGTATTAGAGCGCATTACAAAAACAAATATTACAACCAAACTGCAGAAATGATGATGAAAGTGTATTTCAATTTTACAATATATAACAGCATATATATATAAACAACTATACATAGTAGTGCATTGATATCGTTGTGTGTAATGAAAATTGCTCAAATTTAGTTTTCATATTTTTCAAATCTCTTCTTTGGGATACTCACTCAACAATCTCCCTTGCTGATTACACTTTCGACTACACTTTACCATCAGCTGTTATTACTTCCTTCTACAAAGTATACACAAACACACCAGCTTACTTATTCCATGCAACTCATATGTTACTTTGTATAATTTCGTATGCAAAGAAATATACATATGTACATATGTAGATGTTTGTATATTTTACTGGTTTATGTATACAAATGTACATTTTCCTTGTACGTATATGAAATTGTGTATATTATTTATTTATTTATTCATTTTTTGTATTTTGTATTTTTGAGCTATTCTCCTGCACTTTTCCGGGGACGTCAATCAGTACTTTGAGCAATGAGTATATGCCTGCTTTTTTGGTCTACGTGACTTTTCAGCGCACGTTCAGCGCGTTCATTGCAGAAGCATGAAAGGCAGCATCATATTTTTTTTTCGCTAAATATTTTATTTTTTAATGTTGCTTTTCTTTCTGCACTGAAATGAAATGCATTATTTCAGTTGTATTTTAATTTTTTTTTTTTTAATGGATACAGAACCTGACTGATTGCCTATGCGAACGTATAGGGATTGTGCGACAACTATTAAAAAGATATGCTTTCTTTTCCATCGTACCACAACGCCTCGCTTAAAGTAGGATACGCCAATTATACGTACCTACATACATACATATACATATGCAGCAGTATCAATGGACACTAAGCAATCATAAGTAAACCGGTATTAAAAATAATAGCGATTTTATGGAAAGGAAGCTATAAAATCAATTTTAGTCACTTTAAGACGAGACAAGCAATAATATATACTCGTCTGTACTGTAGAAAACTTGTCTTGAAGTTTATATTAGTTATGCCCACAAACTTTTTAATGATGTAAAGTAAAACTTTTATTCTGAATCAAAATTTCAGTTAATGACAATCAACATACTTAAAAATGTTTATATATAAAATATTAGTTTAAAAATTAATTTTGAAAAAACTTTTAATTAATTTTTTCTTTTTTTATTGAAGTATTTACTCATGTATGACAGTGAAGACCTAAAAATATTTTTTTATTAATTTAAAAATTAATTTTTTAATTGCATATAATAATTAAATTTTAAAATAATTTATAAATTATTAAAAACTTAATATAAAATAGAAATGCTTATATGTATATAAAATATTAGTTGAAAAATGTATTTTGAAAAATTTTTCAATAATTTTTTTTCTTTTTTTGAACTATTTACTAATTAATTACAAAATAAGTCATACAGCAATGATAGTAAAGACCCAAAATAATTTTTTATTAATTTAAAAATTAATTTTTTTAATTTAAAAATAATTTATAAATCGTTAAAAACTTAATATAAATTTGCTTCAATATTTATTATTATTTTTACTTTAAAATATTAATTATCCAAATACCAAATAATTTTAATAAAGTGTTTTTTAAGGCTAATTGATCAAAACTTTTTTATTGTTGTTAAAAATTAAAAATAAAAATTAAGAAAAAGAAATCACAATTTAATTTTGCAATAGTTTTTATTTTATCGATATTTCGACTTTAGTCTAAAGTCATCTATTTCTAAAGATTTCTATTTAAAAATAATTTATTTTAAAATAAAACTTTTTTTTTTTAATAAAAAAAACTTTTTTATTAACTTTAAATAATTTTTAAGTTAAATATTTTTCATTTTTATAATTTATTGTTTTAAAATCCAAATTTTATTTATATATTCTTGAATTTAATTTAAATTATTATTACAAAAGACTTTTTATTGTCACTTATCTTCAGGATTTGAATTAATAATAAAAAAAGGATTTTAACCTAAAAAACAATATTTAATTAACATAGTTATGTTTATACAGTACATATCTTTTATTTATTTATATTTATTTTATAGAATCATAATTTCATATAATTTTAAGCAATATATAACCCCTGCGTAGTAATCATATTAAGCTCTTACTGATACATTCTCTTTTAAGTTTTCGTGTTTATTAAGTAATAAAATTTTATTATTTGTTTAAATTTATTGATTTAGGTATATTGAAATATTTTTATCTGATTTATAATCTTATTAAGTGTATCTCTTTTTGGCAAACTTTTGCAATATAAAATTATGTCAATTTAATATATTTTTGTATACCAAAAAAAAATTTTTTAATTTTTAAAATTAAAAAAATTATATAAAATTTTTAATAACAAAAAAGTTTTTAACAAATGAAGCAATTCAGTTTAATATACGAGAACGGAATTATTAATAACTACTACCAAAATATTTATACTATTATATATACTTTTTGTAATTTAATATTTAATATTAGATAAAAATTTAATATAAATATTTATAAATAAATTAACATTTAATGTATACATCCAATATTGAACATAATTATTGGCACAGCAAGCAAATTAAACTTAAACACTGTTTTTATCCCGATAATGTAGCGATTTTTAATTAACAAAAAATTTTTTTTAAATAAAATGCTTAATTTGTAATTAAATTCATTTTATTTCATTATATTATCTCTTATGTATATTTAACTTATTAAAAAAAAAAAACCAACAACGTACCAAATTAGTCTGATACTAAAATACCACTTTTTGTAGTAAATTTTTTTTTTGTGAACAAACAAAACTTGTTCGTTTTTTATATATATATAATGGACATATATAATTATACTATTTTAATTTAAAAATCGTTAGGTTTTTAATATCAATTGTAACATTTTCAGTTCCAAACCCATCACAGATAAATTACTGAAATTCTGAAATATTATTGAATAGGAATGTTATGATACATATAAAGATTATATGTACCTAGGACATTCATATATGTATGTAATTCATATTATTTAATAAAATGAAAAGGAATAATACTTAATTAAATCTGGAATATAGACGTACTACTGAATATATGCAAATATTAATACGTTTATTACCCACACTATTAGACATAAAACTGTTTTTTGGAGTTCCAACATTGTTTTTATTAGTGATAAAAATTTTTATTAGTGATGATATGTATAATTTCCTATCTCTAGTAAACTCTTTCACAATTCTCAATAGGACTATAACTCTATCACCCAGCATTTATCTCCAAATGCTGTCGGTAAAATCTGCGGAATCAATTCCTGATATCAATTCCTGATGCGAACCAGTTCAGCCAACGTACTTAATTTATTTAAATATTTCATTATGTATCTTGATATCTTCAAACTAAAAATCTTATTTCCTTTTAAATACATCAATCAAATATAGACATTATGCATTTATATAATATATATTATAATTATTATTATAATTTATATAAAAACAGATCTTTAATGGAAAATAACTGAAGTACCAACAAATTAAAAAAAGGCACACATACAAAAAGATACATATTTAAATAAATCTACTTGAATGCACCAAACGACAATTTTACTTTCATAAATGTTTATTAAAAGTGCTGCATATTCATATACACAAATATACATATATATATAACCGGCTTCAATTAGAATATGTATCCACAAAAACTGAATCTGTTTTATTCTGTTCATGTTAGTAGGGTTGAGTTGGGGAAAAGGGCAATGTGAAGAAGTGCACAGCAAAAATACAACCGAAAGAGGATGAAAAATTGAAGTCGACGAATTTCCAATTGTCACAAATGCTTATAAACAGCAAGCAAGTCACTAGCAGTGAATTTAAAAACGAAAAGAATTAAATGAGAATTAATATGACAATCGGAAAAGCGCAGAGTAATAAGAGCAATAAAAACTTAAAAAAAAAATGCTCAAGAGTACAATTTACGCTTAAGAGTAAATTAAAGAGTTTTTCTCATTTTTAAGAGGAAATGATTATATGAGTATAATTACTCATATAAAATATTGAGACTATCAAACGACACTACTCTTATACTCAAAAATTGAGCGTTCAGATATATTAATTTTATTATTGTGCTACAGCAGAACTCAAAGACTCAAAAACATATGAAATGAAAAAACAGTCTATAACGTTTACATATATGCTTAATTATACTCTATGTAACAAACGGAATCAAGTCTAATTCTAAAAAAAAACTTGCATATACAACGTCTCCAAATTAAATGAAGTAATTAAATTATTAAAACTCTTCATTACTCTTTTTTTGTAATAATTTTATATATTCCAATTCTTCATCATACAACCAAATACATAGTTTTTGAAACTTTTCCGGCACTCAGTTTCAAACTATCAAAATATTCTCAAACGCTAATGCTCTCCCATTAAAAAATAAAGTTGCAAAATTTTTCAACACTCAAGTTGCGTTCGTTCTTTTGTACGCAATTGAACTCTCGCCTTGGTTGCACTTGAAACTTTATATATAAGCAAGCATACATATGATTTTCATATACATTTACTTATGGAAATAATAAAAACATAAATGTAGTATTCTCTATGAGCACCTCTATCTTCCCTTTCTCCAATTCCCCATTTGAGTTTTTCACAAC